TAAAAAGGAGCCTTTACTTAAACACCGCGTGCATGGTTAATTCCTGCATGTGAGTTCTTGTTCTCTGCGTGAATGTGGGCCAGTACCTCCCTTTGACACCCCCAGTTTCTCTAACAGTGGATTAGGAGCTGGAGAATTGTGGGGTGAGAGCTTCTTCCAGGTTTCTTCCCTGCCACATTAGGAAAGTGGCATGGTGAGGGGGTACTGGCTTTCAGAGTCTGAGTCACATGTTCTAGTCTCAGCTCTGGCACGTGTGAACACCTGATTTGATTTCCAGTACCGGGAGCTCATTGCCTCTCCCTCCTCCCTCCTTTTTAAGCTCTGCTTTCCCGTCGCACTGAAAATGTGTGATGGTAGATGTCACCACAGACAGAACTGTGGCGAATGCTGCGATTTACATCGCTGTCTTCAAGTACTTTTGATGGTTCAGACATATTTTGGCAACACTGGGTGGATGTGTGGGGGGTGCTGTTATGGGCCAGTGAGATTGCTCAGCCGGTAAAGGCACTTGCTGTCAAGCTTAGCAATCTGAATCCATCTCCTGAGGCCACGCAGTTGTGCAATTCTGATGACCTGACTTTGAGAGCCAGAGCCCACATGTCCTCCAACCTACACACACACCCATGTCTCGGTGCCTGAACACACACACACACACACACACACACACACACACACACACACACACACACAGGACGGAGAGATGGCTCACTGGGTAAAGGCCTTTTCTGCGAAGCCCAAAGACCAGAGTTTAGTCCCCAGCCAGAGCCCACATAGAAGGAAAAAAACAAGCCTGGTCTCTGTATTGCCCTCCCCATAAATACATATATATGTACCACATATATTTATACACATGTATTTACATATAGAAGAAAAAACTTGACTAAAAACAGTGTTGCACATGACAACATATGTGTACAGTTCTAGCACTTGGGACATGGAGGCAGGAGGATCAGAAGTTCAAGGCCAGCCTCGGCTACACAGCAATTTTGAGGTCATGTGACCCTGGTGGTTTTTTTTTTTTTTTGGTTTTGTCTGTTTTTTATTTTATTTTTTTAAGGAAAGAGAAGAAAGAAGGAGGGAATAAAAAGAAAATAAAAAGACAAACTGCCTCTGCTAAGTAGCCCTCTTAGGTAGTCTATGCTGGGGCGACAAGCCTTCTCAGAGCGGGATAAGGACTGTGTCAGGGGTGTCTCCCACGACCTGCACACACACAGCATTGTAAGACCCTGCCTGATTAGAGTCAAAAGGTGACTAAGATTAAATATGTGTTGATTACGCCAGCCTCTGCTCTTGCTTATTCTCATAAATAAGACATGAGCCCTGGCTCTACACTCCCACCCTGGTGCACGCACAAACCCCTTCCTGGGGGTGATATTTATTATATGCAAATCTGAAGTAATCACTTGTTTATCAGACGGCATGTGGACTGGGTGGAAAATAATAACCCAGGGTGACGGTGTCATGTCTACCTGGATGCCACAGGCTTGGATCTGCATCTACAGGGGTCTGGACCAATCACAGGCTGGGGCCCAGTAGTCTGGGGGCAGTTTGGGACTGGAGCTCACTGTTTCCTGCCTGGACAGCTCAGGGCAGGCTCGGTCCAGTGACCTTTGTTGTGTGCCTGGGGGATGAGGATGCAGGCCATGGGAAGATGACAGGAAAAGGCCCCTGGGATCTGCTGCAGGTTAGCCTGGACGGTTGTTTACCAGAAAGACTGTAGTTGGCCTGGTTCAGAAGCCCCACCAGCTGCTTCTAGCTGTGTGACCCCAACCTTGCTCTACCAACTCTCCATTTCCCCATCAGTCAAATGAAAACCACAGTTCCGTCTTGCGTGTTCTGGAGCGAGGACCTGCACGTCCGGGCAGGCGGCCCTTGCCCTCGGCCGATTCCCATGTGGGAGGAGACGCTCACTAACCCTACTCTCCACCGCCTCAGTAGTTCTTGACTGTGGACAAGACTGTGTCTGCCACCCTGTGAGTGCTATATCCTTGTGAAGCTACATGACACAGCGGGCATTCTGAAGTCAGCTTCCCCCTTGTGCCAAGGACATCCTTTCTCTGCCCAGAAGCCTACGGTGCCTCTGTAGTGACTTCCAGAGAAGAAACCCACGTCTTTCCCATGTCCCCTGAGGGTACAGGGCCCGGATTCTGCAGCTCTATTAGCCTCCGTCTCTCACACACTTGGCCTCTCAGGTCCTCTAAGCGTGCCCGGCTCACTCCTGTCCCGGGTGCCTTGCCTCTGCCTGGGGCCTCTGTCTCTGGCTCTTCTTGTATTCTATACTTACTTCTCATCTCCCCAGAGGAAAAATGCTCTGCCTAAATTAGGTTCTCTGCCGGCCATTTACCCTCCCTGGGAACATTGTCAATCTCCTTGGTGACACAGACCCCAGTTTGCCACAGGGCCGTTTATTTGGGTTAACTGGCTTGTAAGTCTCTCTCCAGCAGACAGAAACAGGGCCGGAACAGGTTCTATTCAGCAGGGTGGCTGCAGAAAACAGCAGTTCCATGGACCGAAAGCTGCTGAGCCTCCAGGGCAGCTCAGAACACAGACAGGGTAGTGGGGCTCTGGGTGGGGGTCTATGTGCCCCGAGGAGACAGCCATGTCACCAACTTCGGTGTCCTCCAGGCATGCTTTTCTGCCTGTCCCTGAAGACTTGACATACAAGGTCCTGGTGACAAGGCTCCCTCTGATAAAAGATGCAAAGCTAACATCTGGCGGTTAATTAATAAAGAGCCACGGTGTCTGGCGGGCCCGGTGTGCTGACGCGGACAGTTTCTCCACCCATCCCAAGAGATGCTGACATGCGCTACAAAAATGGGGGAGAAAAGATCGATTTGGAGCAGACCCTGCTGACAAGGCTCCCAAGGGGCTAGAGACCCTGTTTCCTCCACTTAGGGGTTAATGTTGTTTTTGCTGCTGTAGGGCTGTGATGCTGGAAGGGGACCCTTATGGGGTATATATTATGAATCGAGTTCAATATTCCCTCAGTTTCTCCTGGGACCCCCGAGAAGGGAATCTGCCTGTGGACATATGGAGAAAATGAGGCTCTGGTGTTCACTCCAAAGCCTAGGCTCTACCTCTTGGTCCAGGAAGCAAGGACACCCAGCCAGTGTCAGCTGAGGAGTCAGCAGGCCCCTGTGTCATGTTACTCCAGTCTGCTTGCTATCCAGCTCTGCTGGGCCAGGTGGGACCCAGAGTAGTGTTACTGAAACAAATACACCAGACATGCCTCTGTGGCAAAAGTGCTAATCCCAAAGAAGTGGGGAGAAAGACCACTGACCCAAATTATCATGGCCGAATTAATTAAGCAAGCTTTTTTATTCATGTCCACAGGCTGCCTCCACCTAAGCCAATGTTCAAGAGGTCAGCACTGGACTTGAGGAAGACAAGGCGTTCTGAAGACCTCCATCTGCTTGTAGCTGAGGGATACCTGGCCATTGACCTGGGAAGGGGTGCCAGGCAGCTCAGAGCCCCTTCCTTAATCCAGCTGTCACTGACCCACCTGTCCTGTGACGCTTCAGTTGCAGATGTGAGAATAACAATGCCTGCTGGCCAGGATGATGACACCAGGCACTGGAGGTCAGGAGGCTGGGAGTTCTAACCCTCTAAAGTGATATGGGGAAGACTGTGTATCTAGGATCCCTGACTGTGTCCCCAGCTTGCCTCAGCAAGTCTCTCACTTTGGACCTAGGTCTCTACCTCTTAATTTATCTCCTGTGACTAGGGGAGGGAAAGCAAGGAGGGAGGAAGGAAGGAGTTCAGTGGGACTCCCTGAGGCGTCTCTCCTACCTCTTCTAGTCCCAGCTGCTGTGTTCTTGACCCAGTCTCAGTCCTGTGGGCTTGTGTCACGTGTGCGCACGCATGCGTGCGTGCATGTGTGTGTGTGTGTGCATGTGTGTGCATATGTGTGCATGTGTGTGCATGTGCGTGCGTATGTGCGTGCGAGTGTGTGTGTGTGTGTGTGTGTGTGTGTGTGTGTGTGTGTGTGTGTGTGTCTCAGCCCCCAACTCTGATGGTGCCACTTAGGAAGCTGGAACTCTTGACGCTATGATGATAGAGTCGCTGCCTTCAGGACCATATTTGATAAACTGAAGGATGTACTCAACTGCCCTTTGTTTTCATTCCTGCATTCCACCCTTCCCTCGCAGGTTCTGTTTTTATTTCTTTTCCTGCGGCTGTGATAAAATACTCTGACGAAAGCAACTGTGGCAGTTTAAATGAAATGTCCCCCCATAGTTGTGAGCATCTGAATGCGTAGTCCCAGTTCCTGGGGCTGTTTGGGGAGGACTAGAAGGCATGGCCTCGTTGGAGGAGGCGTATCACAAGAGTTTAACGACTTGGACCATTTCTAGTTTAGTCTTTGTTTCATGCTTTCAGATTCAAGACAGGAGCCCCCAGCTTCCTTCTCCTGCTGCCACACCTTGGCTCCACCAGTATAGACTCTAACTCTGGAATGTAAGCCCAAATAAACCTTTTCTTTTGTAAATTGCCTTGGTTGTAGTGTTTTATAAAAGCAATAGAAAAGTAACTAATAGAGCAGTTTAAGGGAAAAAGGGTATTTTTTCCTGGCTCACAGTTTAGGACATGCTCCATCAGAGCAGAGAAATCAGAGAATCAGGAATTTGAAGCAGGTGGTTATAATCCACTCTCAGAAAGCAGAGAGCAATGAACACACACCGCTGCTCATTTCTTCATTCACACAACCCAGTCTCAGCCCTAGATCATAGCCACACACCTACACACAGTCAAGAGGTCCTTGTCCCAAGTGATTCCAGATTCTGACAATCACCACTAACCACCACAGGGTCTCCATCCTAACCACCACAGGGTCTCCATCCTAACCACCACAGGGCCTCCATCCTAACCACCACAGGGTCTCACACTTGTACTACCATGGCTGACTTCAAGCTTTGTCATAAAAGAAGGCACTGTATTAGATGATGTCACCTACTGTAGGCTGATGTGAATGTTCTGAGCACATTTAAGGTCAGCAAGGCTACGCTACAATGTCAGTGTTCATGGGAGTTAAATATATTATTGACTCATGATGTTTCATCTTATGATCCATTTATTGAGACAGTGACCCCATAGTTAAGTCAAGGAGCTGTGAATACATCCTGCCTACAAAAAAGAGATCCTTGTATTAGCTCCACTGCTCAGCTGGGTAAACTGAGGCTCCAAGATGGAAGGGAAGAAATGTGTCCACAGGAAGAAACAATCAGAACCAAGACTTGAGCCCAGGGCGGAGTCACCACCAGGTATCTCCCTCAGTTGCTCCCCATCTTATGTTTTGAAGCAGGGTCTCTGGCTGAGTCTCACATCCATCTATCCAGCTAGGCCGTCTGGTCAGAAAGCCCCAGGGATCCTCCTGTGTCCATCTCCCTAGCCCTGGGATGACTTCTGTGGAGTGCCACCACACCTGACCTTTTATACTGCACAAGCCCTTTACTGGATGAGCCATCACCCCGGCCCCTTTTCATTTCTTATTTGAGAGAGGGTCTCACTAGGTGGCCTGCAGCTTGAGATCTCCATCTTTGATCCCCTGAGTACTGAGAGGACAGCACCCCCGCAAAAAAGAAAAACCTCAAACAAACAAACAAGTCCAAACCAAACAACAAACAAACAAATCTACTCTTCAGTTGGGTTCACAAAGTACAGGCACAGGGCTAAATCCTTGTCCTAAACCAGATCATCTTGGGTTTCCAGGAAGAGCTGCACCTAATAGGACAGACTACCTCCAGATGAAGTCAGTTGTCCAGGAGATGACAACCCCAGACAGAAGTCATCGACACCGTCTGGTAAGTCATCATCTTCAGAGACCACTTTGCCCTCTCATGGATCAGGGCTTCTTCAAACCTTGCTGGACCAGAGCTGAGACAATGATCAGGATGACCACACCTAGATCTGGCCTGCCCAATTATTAAGGGGCTGCTTGTTCCCTTGTACTCCAATTCTTCTATTTAAACCTAAGGTTCACATCAGCATCATAAAGACAGAGGTGTGGGGGGGTCACTGACCCCTTTGACCACACGGAATGAATCCTCTTCACCACTGCTTGTTTGAGGGATTGGCTTGCTGGGGTAGGTGGCTGAGCCTAGCTTGGTGGAGCTGCTGGGATCCAGACTTTTACCCTAAGAATCCCCTCATGCTCCTGCCTCAGCTTCCCAAACCCTGAGTTTATAGTACTGCCTGTCTCTGTCTGGCTCTGAGCTGGCCTTCCTCCACCCTATTCTTCCTGCCTCATCTCCTACTTGGCCTAGAGAAAGGCTGGGGAACCCTCCCCTGCTCCCATGAATACCCAGTTCTTGTCCTCCTCCCCACCCTTCCTCCATCCTGCCCAGAGCAATCAATTTCTTCAGATATAATTTGGGATTCTAATGAACGGAGTGATTTGGCATTTAAATAATTATCCACTCTCTAACTGTTAGCGCTGCTGAGTCGGGAGAAATTTCCGCATCTTATTTATGAATATGGTTTTCCCCCCTCGTGGGGTGGAGGTTTCCCAGCCCGCCCCTTGCTGGGCGCCTCCTCTTTTAAATGCCTTTTCAGCTCCTGCTTCCAGCAACGCGCCCCCCCCACCAGCCCCTAAGAGCCTATTAACAACTTTTCCCTTCCGTTCTCAGCCCCGTTCACGCCCCTTTTTATCTTTACATTTCAATATCATTACAAATCCCAGTGTTATTCAAATTGCATCAATTATTCAATTTCTCCTCCCGAGTACAGGCAGTGGCTTCCCAGTGGCTGAACAGGAAAAGCCAAGGCTTCCAGGGAGGGGTAGGAAGTCACTGGGGAATCGTCTCTGTTCCATTAACCTGGGCTTTTGGCTTCCACAAACCATGGAATTGATTAAAACACACATGGTTTCCATTTGGGCGCTGGAGCAGGGCTGCGACTGAGAAGCATGAAGGGAATGGCTGAGAGATAAAACGCTCTGGCTGTTCCCACACACTCACCCACAGGGTGCTCAGCAAGCTGTAAGACCAGCAGCCATTTATTGAGCACTTACTGTATGCCAGGCACTTCCGCAAGCACTTTACAGAAGTTGCCTCCTGGAAAGCCAAGATAAGCTGGTGATGCATATTTCTATTTTAATTTCTTCTTCTTGTTTTACAGAGGGAAACTGAGGCTGAGTGAAGCAGGTTGCTAAAGCCTGGGCTCTTGGTCATGGCGCCACTGGAGTTTGGGTTCCTTTGTTTGAAACTCACACAAGAAACTGCTTACATCTCGTTCCTGGGAAGTTGTCCATTTTCCTCAAGGTCATGATGGTCTCTCAGCTGATAGACTCTAGAAGCTATATGGATAATGGTCACATTTCCTCTGCTTTGGCTGCCAGGGAACTCTGAGCCCATGTGCAGTCACCATCTTCTCATTCTGTCCTCTCATCCAAGTGTCTCCTGCTTTGTGTAGCCCAGGCTGTCCTGGAACTGGATTTGTAGAACAGGCTGGCCTCGAACTCAGAGAGATCCACTTGCCTCTCCCTCCTAAGTGCTGGGATTAAAGGTGTGTGTCACCACCACGCCTGGCTGATCCTTTCTGAAATGGGTTCAGTTATAAATGCCCAAAGCAAAACAAAAACATGGGCCAGTGAGATGACTCAGCAGGTAAAGGTGCTTGCCCCTAAGCCTGACGACCTGAGTTTGATCCCTGGATCCCACATCATGGAAGGGGATAACTGACTGACTCTCTCAAGTTGCCCTCTGACCACCACACGTGAATATGTGTCCTTGGGTGTGTGTGCACACACTCTACATTAATATATGCATCTTAGGGTTTTTGTGTGAAGAGACACTATAACCATGACAACTCTTATTAACAAAAGCATATAATTGGGGTGGCTTACAGTTCATCATCATCATGGTGGAGCAAGGCGGTGTGCAAGCAGACATGGTGCTGCAGAGGTAGCCAAGAGTTCTACATCTTGCACAGGTAATAGGAAGTAAACTGAGATACAGGGTATGACTTGACCATGTGTGAGACCTCAAAGCCCACCCCCCACAGTGACACACTTCCAACAAGGCCACACCTGTCCCAACAAAGCCTCACCTCCTAATGGTGCCCCTCCCTTTGGGTACCATTTTTCTTTCAGACTACCACAATATGTAAATATCCATTGTTTTAGAGAGCAGTCGTCAACCAGGCATGACATCACATTTTATAATGCTAAGACTGAGCCCCCAAAATGCTGAAAGACTTGACCAAGGACATATAGTAAGAGGTGGGAGTCCACACAGGCCTGCAGAGCCCTCTTCCCTATTCTAGGGGTGCACCTCTTCCTCAACTGTCAGGGAAGGCACGCATCACAAGCTAGCACACACGGATCTCACACTACCTGTTGGTGCGCCTTCCCTCTTGGCCTTGGTTTTCCCCACTGAATTCAGCTGGGCTGGCCTTGGATCACTCCTTTTTAGCTCGTTTGAGAAGTCTATCTGCTGTCATGTGATCCTGGCCCCACCTCTGAGTCACAGCTGCCATCCCCAGGGCAGGTGCAGACCCCAGGGAATTGTGTCACTGGGTTCCCAGGGTTTCCTGATGCCAAGGAGAGAGAGAGAACGAGAGCAGAAGGCTGCAGCAATAACAGGGCTGTGACACATGCCTCCCACGCCAACCACCCGTGCTTTTGATCCTGGTTTCGGGGAGGGCTCACCTCTTCCTGCACCGGAGGTTTCCACACCTCAGTGGTCCCAGACTAACTAGGAAGGTGTGACACCCAGTCAGGAGGTGGAGACAGGCAGACCAGGAGGGTGTAGGCAGAGAGAGGGGTCCCCAAGGGAAAAGGACCTCATTCTCTGTGTGCCTGCTCAATGTGTTACTTCCTCAGAGGTTGTACAATCTACCTCCATGCATTTTTTTTCCTGAAGAAAATTTATGATTTGTTTTGTGTCTCAGAATTGACGTTTTATGATGATGCTATTCTATGTGTATGCCCGGGATCTGGACACCTGACTCTCACTTTTGGGTGACCTCTATTATCCTGTTAAGGAAGCTGAGGCAGAAGGATGGGTTACAGAAGAACCCATTCTCCAGTCTTTTATGGTTTCTCAGTTCCTCCAGTCAGCAGGGATGCTACCGTCTTGGCCATGTCATGAAGTTCTGTGCAAGGTACATGTCTGGCTGTACTTCTATCACTTTATGTGCTCTTTTAAAGCTGTAAAGTTGCTGGGTGGTGGCAGCACACACCTTTAATCCCAGCACTCAAAGGCAGAGGCAGGTGGATCTGAGTTTGAGGCCAGACTGGTCAAGAGTAAATTCCAGGCCAGCCAGGCCTACACAGAGAAACCCTGCACAGACTTTCTAACAGGGAGATGTGGCCATCACTTGAAAATCAGTCTGCCCCATTCTGCAAAGGCCTTTATAGGGAGGCTCCCCTCAGGTGGGGTCCTAGACAGTCTCCGCTAGACCTCTTAGTTAATACCTTATGAGGTCTCTGTGGGCCCCTCATAAGCACCGCACCTTCTGGGCAGGTGTCACGATCCTGCTCGCGCATGGGAAGACAAAGATGGAGGTTACCTCTGTCACAACATTTCTCCCAGCAGGCAAACTTTACCTTGAGACTCTGGATTTAACCCCCTTTGGGGTTCCCATGGCTTTTGCCTTTTCTGCACACATACCTCCAAAAGCCACCTGACTTCTCAGTGGGTCTTTAAAAGCCTCACCACCCCATCCGTGAAATGAGCGGCCTCGAGAGCTTTTCTGGCTCGAAGGTGGAAGCATTGCAAACTGAATCAGGCTTCCCCAGGGCCGGAAATAGGAATTCTACCAACCATCTTACATTCCGGTGTGACTGAGACTCTCTGAGCTGGGAACTCTAAATATAATCTTATCCAATCCTCATAGACTCAAGAAAGGGTGATTCTACTCATATGGCCCTTTAACAGATTAAGAAACAGAGCCTGGTCCCTTTGGCTCCCTTCAGCTCCTGGGTGATGTCCTCTTGAGCTTTCCTGCCCTGAGACCTCTGCCTATGCCATAGCCTTTGGCTAGAAAACTTGACACCTTCCTCTGAGAAAGCCTTAACCCTCCAGGTCACGCTTTCCCATCCCTGTCCCTGTCCCTGTCCCTGCATGCCCTGCCCCCCCACCATGCCAGCTGAAGCATCCACAATGGCATTGGTACCCTGCAGAGACTCAGATAGCTGTGTCCTGAGCCAACCCAACTCATTCGCTTCTTCCCCTCCCACAGCCTTGTCACTTCACAGACAGGACTCTGAGGCACAGAGACATCGCATCGCTTGCCCAACGACACACAGCAAATGGTGAAATGTTTGCCATGAGTCTTGTGACCCATATCTGCAGGGACTATGTCTTGGTGGGAAGTGGGTTCCTTGGATCAGTGGTTCCCAACCTTCCTGAGGCGGTGACCTTTCAACACCGCTCCTCATGCTGTGGTGGTCCCCCCAACCATAAAAATATTTTCATTGCTATTCCATAACTGTAATTTTGCTACCATTATGAATCATAATGTAAATACCCGTGTCTTCCTATGGCATTAGGCGACCTCTGGGAGAGGACCATTTGACCCTCTTAAAGGGGTCATGACCCACAGGTTGAGGACCACTGCTTTAAATGAAGGCAAACAGCAGAATCTGGCTCCCAAGTTCAGACCCATCCTGCAACTGTAAGAGACTGTGCCCTCTGGTACCCATCCCCAGGGCACAGCACCTCCCATTTGCTGACTCCCAGGCTGGCCCTGAGTTCTCCGACCTCCTTCACCCCCATTTTCTGTGTTCCCAAGGACAGGAAGGTAACACACTGCCTTTGCACCCCTACTTTACCACCTCTCTGCACCCCGCGCCAAGACTGAGGCCTGCGTGACGCTCCCCAAGGAGTCCCCACACCACCCCTTGCTCATGCCCCCCTCCAGTTTACTGCCAATGACATTCAGACAAATAGCTTCTGTCGGCGGCAGCCCCACAGAAAGGCATGCTGAGTGATATATGGCGCCGGTGCTGAGCTCCAAGGGTGCTTCCACCCGGCACAGCCCCTGACCCTGCTCCACAGCTGGGCAATGGGCTCTCCTCCTCCCCGGCCCTGGGGATGAGTCCCTGTCAGATGCCATTATGGGAGTCTTTAATTACAAGCTTTGGGACCTCTTCCATGTCCCCCAAATCCTAGCCAGCCCCCTCTTCCGCTCTAGTGCTGTCCTCTTGCATCTTTGGGGCTCAGGCCCCCAAAAGGGTTGTCTCAGAGGGAGAAGGCCAAGGATAGCCCAGCAGGGAACAAAGCAGGGATTCAGTGAGGCCCTGGGGCACTGAGGCCAGCAGCCACCCAGAAGGGCCAATCAATCAGACAGGGGCTGTCTTTACATCTCAGGGCCACCAAAATGCCCTGTCCTGATTCGGGGCTTCTACTAGGGGCCACGTCTCTCACCAAAGCAAGAGACAACTGCCACTATAGCATGTCAAGGGTTTTATGGGGTACAAGCCCTTACTTGGTTATTAAACACAGGCCCCACGTTTTCAAGCACATATGATACAAAGTCACATACAGTGTCAAGGAAATGCAGGGGTTTCTAGGAACCTTCGTACATCATGTTAAAACTCACAGCATCAGGTGACATTCAGCCCTTGAGAGAAACACCCCAGAAACCCAACATTACTCTCACAAGTTGAGGCACAGAGCCTCTCATTTGCCCAAAGACACACATAGCCAGTGAGTTTCAGGTTAGGGACTTGCGTCTGGGACACAGGGCTCCGAAGTCCCTACATTAGCGGCCACCTAGGCAGTGCCAGCACGATAGAGCTGTGGTGCAGACTGAGTTGGGGAACTAGCTCAGTGGGTAAGTTCAGTCCTCCGTGCAATCATGAGGACTGAAATTGGGGTTCCTCAGCACCGAGGTACAAGCCAGACAGGCATGGAGGCAGTCAAACCTTGCATGTAAGCCTAGTGTGCAGAGGTAGAAATGGGTTTCTCAGAGCAGGCTGGTCGCCATATGAGCTGAACTGTCAAAGAGAGACCTGGCCTCAGTAAATAAAGCGGAGATCAATCAAGGAAGACACCCAAGATCAATCTCTGGCTTCTAAACACACATGTGCACACGTACAAACATGAACACACACATACATAAGCATATGCAAAAATGATTGAGTTCATAATAAAAACTGCTTACTGGACGCAGACACCCAGACCCCACACAGCCGGTCCATGGGGGACAGGCTTGCTGACCCTGTACTTCATTGTGTGCCCCTTCCTGACAGAGGTGG